CTCTTCGTCTTTCACACCTTTCAAGGCGGTCCAAGAGGCCCCCAAAAACACCCCAAGACGGCCCGAGAAACCCTCTGGACAGCGCAAAGACGGTCCACGAGCGCTCCAAGAAGGCCCAATAAACCCTCAAGGACTCTTGTTCGGAGCCCAGGAGGGCTCCAAATCGGACCAAGAGGAGCCCGAGAAGCCCTCCAGACGGTCCAAGAGAGCCGGAAGACGCCGACATGCCATCCCCAAGCGCCTACGATGGCCTCAAGACGGCCCAACAGGCCTTCAAGACGCCCCAAGAGGTCACTAAGCGGCGTCCCAAGAGGGCTCCCACAAGCAAAAATCGTTTCATCCCCTTAGGGAAACGTACATATTTTACATATCCGCCTCTTCGTCTTTCACACCTTTCAAGGCCGTCCAAGAGGCCCCCAAGATCACCCCAAGACAGCCCGAGAGACCCTCAAGACCGCTCAAAGACGGCCCAAGAGCGCTCCAAGAAGGCCCAAGATACACTCAAGAACTCTTTTTCGGAGCCCAGGAGGGCTCCAAATCGGACCAAGAGGGGCCCGAGAAGCCCTCCAGACGGTCCAAGAGAGCTGGGAGACGCCGGAATATCACTCCCAAGCGCCTACGGTGGCCTCAAGACGGCCCAACAGGCCTTCAAGACGCCCCAAGAGGTCCCTAAGAGGTCCCTAAGCGGCGTCCCAAGAGGGCTCCCACTAGCAAAAATCGTCCCATTCCCATAGGGAAACGTGCATTCTTAACATATCCGCCTCTTCGTCTTTCACACCTTTCAAGGCGGTCCAAGAGGCCCCCACGATCATCCCAAGACGGCCCCACAGACCCTCTAGACAGCTCAAAGACGGCCCAAGAGCGCTCCAAGAAGGCCCAATGAACCCTCAAGGACTCTTGTTCGGAGCCCAGGAGGGCTCCAAATCGGACCAAGAGGAGCCCGAGAAGCCCTCCAGACGGTCCAAGAGAGCTGGAAGACGCCGACATGCCATCCCCAAGCGCCTACGATGGCCTCAAGACGGCCCAACAGGCCTTCAAGACGCCCCAAGAGGTCACTAAGCGGCGTCCCAAGAGGGCTCCCACAAGCAAAAATCGTCTCATTCCCACAGGAAAACGTACATCTTTTACATATCCGCCTCTTCGTCTTTCACACTTTTCAAGGCGGTCCAAGAGGCCCCCAAGATCACCCCAAGACGGCCCGAGAGACCCTCAAGACCGCTCAAAGACGGCCCAAGAGCGCTCCAAGAAGGCCCAAGAAACCCTCAAGACGGTCCAAGAGGCCCCAAGACGGCCCCATGATTGAGGTCCACAGGGGCAACCTGAACGGAAATTTTGAGCCTCCCGCCCAAACACATCCCCCGAAAGGCCCCTACAAGCCCCCAAGTAGCCCCACGAAGCCCCCAAGAGAGCCCCAAGAGGCCCCCAACAGGCTGCAAGAAAGCCCCAAGAGGCCCCCAAGAGACCCGCAGGAAGCTCCCAGGAGGCCCCCAAGAGGCCAGGCAGACCCCCCCAAGAGACCACCAAGAGGGCCCACCCAGAGCCATCCACGAGGCCTCCCAAAGTTCCCAAGAAGCTCCCACGAAGCTTCCAAGGGCTCCCAAGACCCCACGAGGCCTCCAAGAGCTCCCAAGAAGCTTCCCAGAAGCCTCCAAGGGCTCCCAAGAGGGTCACAAGTACTCCTCCTGAGAAGCTCCTTAATGCTCCCAGAAGAGACTCCCAGAAGCATCCATGAGCTCTCCGAGATGCCCCCTGCCCAGATCCCCAACACTCAGTTTTTCTCGCGTCCCTCACCCTTGGATCCTTCACTGCGTTTTCCTCCAATTCAAGTCTGTTGTGGTGCATCATCACATGCGTGGCGCGCGAGCGCCCGTGACGGGTGGGTAGCGCGTCCGCGGCGGCGCGGGTCGGGTCCGGCGGGCAGGACAATGTAATCAAATGATTCGTTTGGGTCTGACCCCTCCTCCCTCCACTCTCCTCCCTCTCGGAGCCCAGAATTGCGAGGCTCAGGCGAACCGGGCCAGACCACCTCGCCCGCAGAATCTCGGAGCCCCGAAATGCGAGGATGTCTCAAACGAAACCCTTGCGCACATTTTCTCAAACTCAGAATTGCAAGGATGTCTCAGTCGCTCGCGCAGCATTTCGGAGCTCAGGGGTGCGAGGATGACTCAAGCGAAACGCACTGGACCTCCTCTCGCGCGGCAGCTAGGAGCTCAAAGTTGCGAGGATGTCTCATCCGAAACGTGCCGGACCACCTCGCGCGCGGCATCTCGCCATCTCGGAGCGCAGATTTGCGAGGATGTCTCAGGCGAAACGGCGGACCACCTCTCGCACGGCATCTCGGGGCTGAGTTGCGAGGATGTCTCAGGCGAAACGGCCCAGATTACCTCGCGCGCGGCGTAGGCGAGACGGCCAATCCTGGACAGCTCAGAAAGGAGAGTTGCGAGGATGTCTCAGGCGAAACGGCCGGGACCACCAGATTTGTTTGAGGATGTCTCTGCTCCCCTTCCCCTTGGCCACAAGAGCACCCCGTTCAGCAAGCTGGTTGGGGAAAAGCACTCCGTCGCGGGTGGAAGAACGCAAACTGATGTAGACAGGAGGTGCCCGCGGACTTCTTGGCCCAGCGGAAGAAACGTTTGAGGAACTCTGAGGCGAGAGCCGCGGTTGTGTAGCCCGGGGGGGCCCAGAGAGCCCCCAAGTCAGTGGGGGGGGTCGCGTGGGTTGTGACCCCCCCTCCCTGGGGGGAGGCACTCCTCCCTGGGATAAGCTTCTGGGTCCGGAGCGTCCACGTCGTCGTCGTCGTCATCGCCGTCGCCGTCGTCCTTGTCCCCCTTCGGGGTCAGCGGCACCGGCCGCAAGGCAGGCCTTCGCAATATGTGAGGAAGCCTGAGGCGAGAGCCGCTGTTGTGTGGCCCGGGGGGCCCGAAGAGCGCCCAGGTCATCCTCAACAGAGGCCAGGGTGCGAGCGTCGAAGGGCCGCACTTCGGCTGAAAGAAAGCCTGGGCACTGGCGAGGGGGGTTCAACAGCCATCTTCAGTGGCTAGGATTCGACATGCTTGAAACGATTTTCTTTTGTTTGCTCGCGTGTCTTTCAACATGGTGTGGGAAAATATGCTAGCTCGGAAAACTATGGACCCTTCAATGCTGACTTCTCACCTTCGCTTCTGAGCCGGCGAGCCCGCCGCCGTGTTACGGTCAGAAACTTTTGTTTATTGTGTCGCGGCGGCTGCCCGGGCGACACGCCATGCCCTGCGAGCGGACAGCGTGTCGCTCCGCTCCGCGGGGCGGAAGCTGGGAAAGGCTTGGGACGTCTACGCCTGCAGATCGCGACGTGGTCAGCGTGTCGCGCCGAAGCATGGTGGGCCAGAACCAGCAGCGCGACACGCCAAGAAACCAAAGATCCTGTCCACACGGTAGAGGGGAACACTTACTGAACGCTGCCCCTCCCCCCAACCTCAAAAGCTGGCTCGCGCGCGGGCGACTGCGGTCGAGGCACAACGCATCAGGCCCACCGCCAACTCTGAACATTGGGGGGAGGGGGGGGCGCTGACAGAGGAATGCGGCACGCGTGCTCGCTATTTTTCTTATTTCGGGGATGGACAGACCCCCCTTTAGTAAAACGTGGTTCAGTGAAAACGACCTGAGGCCCAAACCTGGCGGGCGCAAGCCTGGAAAACAACGGCCACGGCGCCCTCTCGAGAACCGAAAACGGACAATTCACTATAATCGACGTGTCACTGCTGGGGGTTCTGCCCACCCCCGACTATTCCGAGACCTGCACCCCCCCCCCGCCTTCCGCCGGCCTCCCGCGGCCGCCTCGCGGCCACGAGCGGCTCGCTGACCCGGCTCAGCCAGAGGGGGTCTTCGCAGGATCCTGCAGGATCTGGTGCCCTGGCTGACCCCCGTTTGCATTGACCCCCGTCCCAAGGCTCCCGATTATTCCGAGGCCTGCACCTTCCGCCGGCCTTCCGCCGAGCACGGCGCCGCGGCGCCCCGGCGCCCCCGGGGGCCGGAGCCCCCGCGCTCTCGGGCCTCGGGGCGCGCGCGCGCGTCCCCGCGGGGCGGTGCTGAGGCCGCGGCGGAGGCTGCGGCTGCGGAGGCGAGGCGCCGCGCGCACCTGGGCCACGGGGGGGAGGGCGCGGGGAGAGGGCGCAGGGGAGAGGGCGCCGCCGGCGCCGCCGGGCTTCGCGGCCCCCTGCGGCCCCTCGCCTCGCGCTGGAGCGTCCACGATGTGCTCCAGGTCTGTGTGGGCATCTCAGGGCGTGCCTCGACGTGGCGCAGATCTGCGTCGGGTTACGCACATGTCATCCGACCTCTACCGAGCTTGACCCTCGCGAGTCGATTGGAGAAGGGTCGTCAAGCCCTTGGTGGAACCTCCCTGTCTGCCACCCACATCCCTCCTCCTCCTCCTCCTCCTCCTCCTCCTCCTCCTCCTCCTCCTCCTCCTCCTCCTCCTCCTCCTCCTCCTCCTCCTCTCCTCCTCCTCCCTCCTCCTCCTCCTCCTCCTCCTCCTCCTCCTCCTCCTCCTCCTCCTCCTCCTCCTCCTCCTCCTCCTCCTCATCCTCCTCCTCCTCCTCCTCCTCCTCCTCCTCCTCCTCCTCCTCCTCCTCCTCCTCCTCCTCCTCCTCCTCCTCCTCTCCTCCTCCTCCTCCTCCTCCTCCTCCCTCTCCTCCTCCTCCTCCTCCTCCTCCTCCTCCTCTCCTCCTCCTCCTCCTCCTCCTCCTCCTCCTCCTCCTCCTCCTCCTCCTCCTCCTCCTCCTCCTCCTCCTCCTCCTCCTCCTCCTCCTCCTCTCCTCCTCCTCCTCCTCTCCTCCCTCCTCCTTCTCCCCTCCCTCCTCCTCCTCCCTCCTCCCTTTCCTCCTCCTCCCTCCTCCCTTCCCCTTTCCTCCTTCCTCCCTTTCCTCCTCCCTCCTCCCTCCTCTCCTCCTCCCTCCTCTCCTCCTCCTCCTCCTCCTCCTCCTCCTCCTCCTCCTCCTCCTCCTCCTCCTCCTCCTCCTCCTCCTCCTCCTCCTCCTCCTCCTCCCACGCCTCCTTCTTCCTCAAACAATTCAGGCTCGAGGCATCTTGCACGAGCCAGCCCCGTACCTCAGAGCGGTGCTTGAGTGCCTTCCCTCGCGTCTGGTGCACAGGCACAGGTTCGACCAAAGCGGGGCTCGGACACAACATGGCGGTCACATACAGACCCTGGAGTACGTGTGCTCACTGCAAGACGCCAAGATACAACGACAAGTTTGCGAGCAGGAGCTGTGCATGCGGCAACTGTGGAAAAAAAACGCCTTTTCCAGCCACGGTCGCCAGCGCCAGGAAGTCGTCGCGTTGCGTTCGACGAGCAGGTCGAGCACATCGAGAGTGACGACAAGGTGGCGTCCGTCCGAGGGCGCAGCCCTCGCAGGACCGCTTCCGAGGAGAGGTCGGCCAGGCAGCAGCTGGCAGCCCTCCTGGAGCAAGCCAGGAAGGCGGCCGACGACGAGGAGGCGAGGCACGTGCTGCAGGTCCAGAGCCAGAAGCTGGCGGAGAGGGCCGCCCAGGAGTGTGCCGAGTGCGAGGCTGAGGCTTTTTCGCCACGCTGAGAGCGCGTGGAGAGCGGCTGCGCACAAGCACGAGCAGACGGCGACGCAGGTGCTGCAGCTCAGGACGCAGCTCCAGAACGCGGAGTCCAAGGAGAAGGCTGCTGCCCTTGAAGTCGCGCGTGCTGAAGTGACGAAGAAGAAGGCTGCCCAGGCTCTCGCGCAGGCCGAAGGGCTCAGCGCGGCCAGCCAGGGCGACGAGGGTGGGGGTAACAGCCCCGCCATTGAGCTGACTATCAGCAGCGAGGTTCCCGAACAGTTCGAGGAGTGGGAGTGCAACGAGGAGTGGGAGTGCAACGAGGAGGACAAGAAGCAGCTCAGGATGCTCAAGTCCCAGCGTGTCGATGATCAGAAGGAGTTCGAGGTGAACGACTCCGAGGTCAAGACTTTCCTCGAGAGAGCGGCGCAAGTCGAGAAGGAGGTCAGCGACCGCGCGATGAAGAAGCCTAGGCGAGTCGACGCCTACGGGAACAGGAGGGAGGTGAAGGGTACCAAGCCCGAGCGCGAGGATCTGCTGCAGAGGCAGGCCGAGAGGATCTCTGCGGCGAGGCTCGCTGCCGCCGAGGCCGTCAACCGCGCTGGCCCTTCGGGTGGCGCTGCAGGCTGGCGGCCCCGGAGGGGTGGCGCCGGCGGCGACGCGGCAGGCCCTGGGAGCCAGCCTGGCGCCGCCGCCCAGGCGGCAGCGGCAGCAGGCAGCAGGCAGCAGGAGAGTGGCGGCGGGAGGAGGAGGAGGAGGAGGAGGAGGAGGAGGAGGAGGAGGAGGAGGAGGAGGAGGAGGAGGAGGAGGAGGAGGAGGAGGAGGAGGGGTCGGCGTGCCGGTCGACCGGCAGGGTGGAGGTGCGCAGCTGTGGCCCAGGCTCCCGCCACGAGGAGTCAGACGAGGAGGCCACGAGCGCCTCCACCCCTGCCAAGACCACGGAGGACCGAGGGCAGCCATACGACATTGCTGCAGGCGGGGTGACCGGGCAACTCCACGGTGACGCCAGCAAGGCGGCGGAACAGAAGCCCTGCCTCTCCTGCACGCGCTCGGAAGTATTACGCAAGGGACCAGACTGAAGGATATGCGATGTGGGGCGTCCTTCCTCGATGGGGGTGCGTCCGACTAGCACCCTGGGAGTGCATCTTCGAGTTTCCTTTTCCTGAGCGGCCATCTTTGTCATGGAACACTCGAAGATCCGGATCGGGCCGCATCAGCACGGAGTCGAAACCGAATCGGATCGGCCGCGCCAGGATGCACCGCAACGCCATGCAAAAACATCGGGCCGCATCGGAGCGTCGGAATACCAGAGCTGCATCGGATCGAGCCGGCAAGAGCCGAAATCGAACCAGACAGACCAGGTCGAAATGACACCTGTTTGGCAGCCTCACGTGCCCAAAGGCAAGTAATCATGAAATCGAGAGCACAGGGGCAAGGGTTACTCTACCGGCGGCATCTCAAGCCTGCTCCTGAAGCTTGACTCCAAGGTCGATGCTGTCCACGGTCCACGGAGGAACCAGGCCGTGACAGCACGCCCACGCGCGATGAAGCCACAGCGCTCACGAGCGCGCACAACCACTCACGCGGGCTCCCACGCGTTCGCTGTCGCGCACAGGCCTCACAGACGCTCAGAGGCGCACAGAGCCGCTCACAGGCGTCCACGTCGTTCATTTCTAATCGTGCTCATTTCTAAGTGTGCTCATTTTTAAGTGTTCCTGGCCCCCTAATGACCAGGAAGAGGCCCAGGATAGAACAATTAGGAATGAAAGGATCTTGGTCCCCAACAAAAATCAAAAAATGTTCGAAACATTAGAAATGAACAAGGCGTCCCTGCACGCCAACCGGAGCCCACACGCGCGCGCACGAGAGACCGAAGCCGCTCACAGGCGCGCGCAAGCGCTCGCGTGCGCTCCCACATCTTCGCGGGCGCACATTCCACATGGCCCATGGGCGCACGCGGGCGCCCCCTGCGGGGAGCATGGAGGGGCCTGCAGGGATGAGCAGGGGGAATGTTGAGAGAGAGAGAGAGGGCGAGAGAGAGAGAGATTGTTGGGGGTCGAAGCATGTTCGAAGCCGCTCCTGTCTAAAGATTCAGGAGGTGAGAGGCGGCATCTCATACGCACGTACTCACATGTGACTGACTTGTGACGGTTCCGGACTCGAGCCATGCCTGGAACACGCTGATGCCTGCACACCCGAGGAATCCATTCCAGGACGGAATGCTTGACCGTACAACCAATGAGTCGAACGCTCAGGCAGTCCTAACAAAGGTGTCCTCGGGAGGGGGGTTCGGGAGACTACCTGAGTGCCGGCAGGAGACTGCGCCCCATCCGAAAGAAGTGGCAATATACTCTGTGGACGCGGCAACGGGCTCCTTTTTTTCAACGGGCCCCAGCATGTTATTTTTGGCCACGGCGAGCTGAAGCCGCACTAGCTTCAAGCGGGCACTCGGAATCTTGTGGCTTGTTGGGGGGGCCTCGTCGTGTAGGACAGTTGCCTCTCCCCGGCCCCGTCCCCAGGCTCCAAGACTCCAAGACGATTCCCACGAGGGCCCCCCAAAGGAAAACATCCTCTTGGGAACACGTACATGCTTGTCTTTTTCTTGTTCTCGTCTTCGCAGGATCCAACAGGACCCAGGAGGCTTCCAAGATCGCTCCACAAGACTCAAAAGGCCCCAACGTACGAGATACGTCTCCATGAAGGTCCCAAGGCGGCCCAAGAGTCCCCTTGGGGGGCCCCCAACGAGGCCCACGAAACATTCAAGACGTCACGAACCTCGAAAGGCCCCTAAAACCGACTCCGAAGGCGCCGGACGGCCCAAGAGTGCCCAGCCGCTCCCCGGGGGCACCCCCGAAAAACCATAGAGGCCCCCAACAGGCCCCAACAGGCCCCCAAGAAGCTCCCAAAACGTTCCGAAACACTTTGCAAGACGCGTCCAGATGCGCATGCTTCCCCTGCGTTGACGACGCGGCAGTCGGATTTCTCGCGATTTCCGCCGACGTTTGCCGCTGCCCGCACAGCTGCCTAACCGAGATGGGTATTCAATTCACCCCCTTGTGATAATGGGAGCTACTTATTTTGTAACGCGGGCCAATTGACGGATGGACCGAACACAGTCTTGGACAAATAATTAGTTTCCCGCGGCAGCCAATGCTGGACTTCCTCTAGGTTCCTAAGACTCCGAAACCTCCCTGAGAATTCCGATAGATTCGTCGGATCCCGAAGGACTCATTCGGATTCTTGAGATTCCCTCCTGGTTCCTGGGGCTCTGCAGGGGTGAGGAGGGGAGGGGCGAGAAGGGGAAGGCCGAGTTTTGCTGCCAGCCGAAAGCTTTGGGGGGGAGGCATCCAGCATAAGAGACCCCTCGTGGTTACCTCCACATGGCGTTTCGCCTGTTCTCTTCGCGGCGTCCGTCCCGCCGTACAGCACTTCGCGCCTGCCACTGGACTGTCTCGCGTGGCTCCGAAGACGCCCGAAGACGGTTCCAGGCGTCCCCGAGAGGCCCCCTGATGCCCCCAACGGGCACCGCAAAACCTCCAGCATACCCCAAACAAACTCCCCCCAGGACTCCTC